GATGAAATTTGAATAACGATTATAAATACAGGCCTAAGTCTTTTAAGTAGTGCATGATTTACTTAAAACTTTCATACTGATAATCAGATGAGTATATTTGTATAATACAAATATATTTTTGCGCGCAGTTGCACGTCATGAAATGTGTAAAAATCTCTGAAACTGTTATTACGTACTTTTAATACGTACTTGATACGTAAATTGATACGTACTTGATATATAGATAAGAAACAACTTCGTACTAATAATTAACTATTCCATCTATTTTGGGAAAAAAAATAAGATCTGTTTTTTAGCTAAACTACTGTATACTACTCTGTACTCAAGTGAACTCTGTACTTATAGTAAAATAGGTATGTTTGATATTTGGCAAAAGCAAGAACAGAAGTTTTAGTGCAGTCTAGTGCAGCAATAAAAAACCTATTTACGGAATGGATTATTTGCTATAGATATCAAATATGCACTTTTGAAAATAAACGCATTGCAATATTGCTCAAAATTTAATTGCAATAAATATTTCGTGTGTACAAATCATTATTCATTATTAATAAAGAAATATGTGAACTTTATAACTCTTACAAAAATTGATAATGTAAGCTATTGCGGAATATAAAATTTGTAAAATTTTTTCTCTAAAGCAAAACGATTAATACAAAACACACAAAATAATTTTTATTGCGTTTTAAAGAGTCTTACATAAGTTACGTTCTTGTTTCAGTGCACTGTATACATATTTATATATAGAGATTACTGATGGCAGTGTGACACATGTCACAGTTTTCAAACGTTTTATGAAAGCATAAAAGCATAAATTTTAAGAATTTTATTAAAAAATATTATTCAGAATTGTTATCTTAGTATGCTCCACATAAATGTAGTGGGGAGCATACCATGGTAAGATAAGTTCTCTTTTAAAGCTAGGGGAGATCGGGACTAGAAGTCACACGGGTAAGTTGTCACAAAGGTTATATCTCATTTAATAGATTAAGTGGAATATTCTTCTTTATAGTGTACGTTGCTCCTATCCTGTTAGTCGGGTGTACAAAAATAGCTCGTTTCAAAAACATCGCATGTGATATTTACGAGCACTTTTTAAAAATTGGAGGTCGTAAGTAAATTTTTCTTGCTTCTATTTTTATTGTACGTAATTGATACGTACTTGATAGATAAGAAAAACTTCGTACCAATAATTAATTATTTCATCTCTTTTGGGGAAACAAATAAGACCTGCTTTTTAGCTAAACTAATGTACCACTACTCTGTACTCAAGTGAACTCTGTACTTATAGTGAAATAAATATATGTTTGATATTTGGCAAAAGCAAGAAAAGAAGTTTTCGTGCAGTCTAGTGCAGCAAAAAAAAACCTATTTGCGGAATGGATTATTTGCTATAGATATCAAATATGCACTTTTGAAAATAAGCGCATTGCAATATTGCTCAAAATTTAATTGCAATAAATATTTCGTGTGTACAAATCATTATTCATTATTAATAAAGAAATATGTGAACTTTATACGACTAAAAAAATAGAACAATTATACAAATAAAAACGAATATTTTATTGAATTATCATCGATGATAATTAAGTTTACTATGCTCTGCTTATTATTGACAGTAAAATGAAGCCGATTGCTGAAACGATATTTTGGATAAGCTTTTTATACATCGCGGCACCAGTAAAAACTGCAAGGATC